GGAAGCTGGTTTTGCTAATGCAAAAATAAACGTGGGACTCGGGTCCCATGCAAAGCAACAAAATAAATCTGAAACGCACTCTAATGAGACGGAAATGGGTAACTCATCAGATGGAGAACCCGCGAAAGGTGGCGTCCAGGAGAACCCACCGCACCCTTGCCGGGCTGTGCACTGTAGGAAGACAGGTCAAGGGTCGAGAAACAGGAATTGTGTGCAGTGCTGATGGAGTGTGGTCAGTAGTCATAGGACGATCTGGGAGGATGAGTCTCAAAAGCACCTCGAAGGCCGGTCATATGACCTGGTTATCCCAGGCACACGTGTGTGCCTGTGTATGCGCGTGTGCATGCATGGGTGGTGTGTGCGCGTGCATGTGAGTGAGTGTGCACATGAGTGTACGTATGTGAGTATGTGCATGCGTGTGTGTACGCATGTGTATGTGTGAGTGTGTGCGTGTGTATATGTGTGTATGCGTGTGCGCATGTGTTTATGTCTGTGTGTGTTTATGTGTGTGTGCATGTGTGCGTGTGCATGTGTGTGCGTGTGCGTGCATGTGTGTGCACATGCGTGTGTGTGAGACTAAGAGACTACACTGGCTAATATCTACAGTCTGGTGACTCAAGACGACACGACAAGAGCTGATGCAGAATTGATGAAGCAGGTCTAGCTGTGGACGCAGACGTCCAGGGACACTGAGACGCTTTACCGGCATGTCTGTGCTAATGTTAGGCTGCTGTAGGAGACACACAGTGACATTTCCACATGAAACCTCTGCGTGGTATCTGATGCCATCAAAAAACAAAACAAAACAAAAATCAAAAAGAAAAGAAAACAGCCCATGGATGGCACTGCTGTGACCAGATGTCCACCAATGTAGGGTTAACTGTAGGAGAAGATTCAGTTCCTGACTTGTCTCAGGACAGGACATCTTCTGGAACATTTGGTGAGCTAGACACTAACTACTTGGACCTCCTAGGAGACGGGGGTGGGGGGGTGGGCAGAGATCATATACACAGCTCCCAAACAAGTAAGGTCAGTCAACTGTGTAGTCGCATGAACCAAACACAGGTTGTGAGAGAAAATAACCCCTGGACACATGATCTGGGCGCCAGCAATCCCGGGGTTGCGTGCAGTGGGCACAGCTGCTCTGGGTAGGGAGAGCAGGAGGCACATTTCTGCAAGTTTGTCAAACGAGCTATGGTTCTTGAGGAGCCCAGGTACTCCTGATATAGAAGACAAGAGCTTATGGATGAATAAAAAAAAAAAAAAAAAAATCTGGATTCTTTGGGACATAGCAAACTCTTAGTCTTTTAAGACATTACTGGATATTTCTGACTGGCTTTCTGTCTATCTGTGGATTATATTTTCCCCTATCTTTGAATAGTTTTTTTTTTTTTTTTTTTTTGGTTTGTTTGTTTCTAAACAATGAACATATAAAATACAACGAACATTTAAAATAATACAATGCAGCAACTCAGAAAGAGATCTTGTCTGTTCTTCTAAGTCAATTCCCCACCATGTGGCTGCCAAAACTGTTTGATTGTGACAGCCTCGTGAGGTAACGTTTTGGGATTAATTCTGCAAAGCCTGCAGTCTTCCTTATAAGTAGAGACTCAAGTTTCTTATCAGTGATTTAGATTAGTGATGCTCAAAGGGGTGGAGGCACAGATTTCCGTATTACTTTGAATCACTAAGGTTTCCAACCTTTTCCAGAATGTTCCCTTGCCTGGACATGGTGATTACAACTCTACAGCCTGGTCTTTACTCTCTGCTTTCTGAATCTTAGCCAGAGGCCGGCGGGTTCACAGGCCCTTCTCAGGATGTGTGTGACCTTCGGGAAGCCACAGCTTTTCGAAGCCATTTATGGAAAATAAGTTTTTCCTCCAGATTTTTCATCTTCAGTTTCTCCCAGCCTCTGCTTTTCGCAAACAGGTACGTCTTCAGCTGGGATGATAACCTGTCATTGACAAACATCCTAGACACAGGGTTTTTCTGTGGGGCAGGGAGGAGCTGGTAGAGTTAGGGAGGAGAGTAGGAATATGATCAAAATTCGTTGTGTTAACGGATGAAATTCTCAGAGAATTAATAAAAAACATTTGTGTTGAAACAATAAAAGTGCTACATTGAACAATAAAAACAGAGAGCAGTTTTCCCAAGAAGCTGCAGAGCCAGTGACAGTACCACCATCCTCTAGGCGTGTGGCTTCTGTGAGGCTGAAGATTTGGCACCTCATCCGTGGGTCTTACAGACTGGGCTTTCAAAGTTAATGCCCTGTCCAATCTACGCTGAGGAGACGGAAACAGTAAGAGAGTCAGTTAGAACTTCAGGAAGCTGCTTAGTAATATTTAACCATTTTTCCCCCTCTGGAATAAACATTTAGATGGGTACAAAGAATTTGAAAAAAAAAAAAAAACATGATTTGGATAATTTTTGCTAATGTTTGCCTACTTTTTTATAGAGCTGATTTTGGTGGTAATTTATCCATCACTCTAACAGGCCTGCTTAGTCTTCCTTTCAAAGAATGCTAATATTTGCCTAATACTTTTTTAGATACATAAAATTTACAATTTAAGTATTTAGTCAACTTGGATAGATTTTTTTTTTTTTTTAACATAGAAAGCTCAGAAGGCAATGGGAAGCCAATTGCAATATTTAAAAAATCTTTCCTAACTAAAATTCTTTTGAGAATTTAATAAAAGTTTGAATTGTCGTTGCAGAAAAATCTGCACATATGTACAGTTTTGTGTAATTTCAATAAATTCCCAGACTACTTAGGCCTCCTTCCAGGAAACAGAGACTCAAAAAGAGGATGTGCAGAGGCCCCTCTACTGACCACTCTGTCACGTGATCATTGTGCACATCCATCCCAGGAGAGACTGGGTTATTTCTGGATTGGTGCCTGCTCCAATGCTCTCCCATTTTAGCGAAACCAGGCATTTTTCTGTTCTGCTCTGCTCTGAAGCACTCCACTGTGCACAGCAAACTCCTCACACCTCTGTAGCTTTGGCTTTCCTGACAATTGACCATCAACACTTGACATGACCACCAAACAAACACTTGATATGACTACCAATCATTTGAAATGACCACCAAACACCTGACATGACCACTAAACACTTGACATGACCACCAAACACTTGGCATGACCACCAAACACTTGGCATGACCACCAAACACTTGACATGACCACCAAACACTTGGCATGACCACCAGACACTTGGCATGACCACCAAACACTTGACATGACCACCAAACACTTGACATGACCACCAAACACTTGGCATGACCACCAAACACTTGACATGACCACCAAACACTTGGCATGACCACCAAACACTTGACATGACCACCAAACACTTGACTACCAAACAGTTGATATGACCATCAAACACTTGACTACCAAACAGTTGATATGACCACCAAACACTTGACCACCAAACATTTGACTACCAAACACTTGACATGACCACCAAACACTTGACATTACCACCAAACACTTGACATGACCACCAAACACTTGACATGACCACCAAACACTTGACATGACCACCAAACACTTGACATGACCACCAAACACTTGACTTTATCACCAAACACTTGACTTGACCACCAAACAGGACACCTTTGTCAGCTTCCTGTTATTTTCGTTTAAAAGGTTGTGTCACTGTTCTTCTACTACTCTATCTCAAGAAATGAAAACTGTACTGAGGAGAAACAGGAAGTCATTTCTGAGTAAAGAGTAAGCTTAATTGTAACTACGTATTTGGTTATCCTAAATAATCAGGGGAGGTGTGAGCTTCACAGAGCTTTCCACCAAAGCCAGTTTCCCTGAAAAAGAGCACAGGCTTTAAGCAATGGAATAGCAGTTGTATGGCTACACTTCATACATGTGGAGATGAGAACTCTTTACAATGTCTCTGACAGCATCTGATAGGCTAGTTCACTAACCCAAACATACGTGCACACACACGCACACGCACACACATATAGACACTCACTGCCCAGTGTTCCCGGTGTGCAACCAAACAAGTTCTCATTCATCTTACTTTTCTAAGAATCTTCATTACATTCTCAGATTACAGGGGACACTTTTCGTGTTGTTTGTGTTTTGTTTGAGACAAGGTCCTGGATAGCCCAGGCTGTCCCCAAACTTGCTACACTGCTGAGGTGGTCTTCAACCAACCACTGATCATCTGCCTCTATTTTCCAAGCAAGCTAGGATTTCAGATGAGTAGTACCACATGCCCAGATTTTGAGGAGACAAACTTTAAAGCATGGTATGATGTGTTAATACCTTATAGAGGCCTGACAACCAGCAGAGAAAATAGGTTTCCGTGAAGGTTGTCTTTGTCTTCCCATGCCTTTTATGCATGTATCTTTCATTCAAGTACCTCCACCCACACAAAGCCCGAATCACTGTAAAACGGAACATGCAAGTTCAACTGTGGAAATGCGGCTTGGGAAGGTCAGTGGGCAAAAAACTGTGTGGAGGACAGGCTGGCCCATGGCACACTTCCTCTCATGGGAGCACGGGGACACTCGTGAGAATGTACTAGTTATTGCTGCCAACTAAAGGTGCATAGGAATGTAAGTCAGACACAATTTATTTGGATCAGTCTGTCTTTCTAATCAAGTACATTATTCACTGTGTGAGTGTGCACACATGATCCCTGCATGTTCCTGCAAGCATGCACACATGCATGCATAAAAGGTGCGAAAGAGAGTGAATGAAAGAATGGATGCGGAGTGCTTAATACAGTTAGTGAAATAGAAACATGGATCCTGATCTTCCTTAAACAGAAGAAAAACATAAAATACGTTATGCGATTTTTAATACCAGGTAGGTCAAAAAAAAAAAAAATGAGTATTTAAAATACCGTGATGAACATAAAACACCCGTCTCCCAGAGTGATTTTAAGTAAGGCAGCGGCGGCAGCGGCGCCTTCCCCTCTGAGGGACGCGAGGGGTCCCGGAGGAGCCGCCCTTCGGGGTGATTTACGTACCTGACTCATCATCCGCTGCTCACGGATGACAGCCTGGATAGCCTCCGTTACTCTCTCTTGATCTCTGGCATGCTCTGCTTTCCACATCTCCCGTTCTTCAGCGTGAACTTTTTCCAGATTTTTCCTTTCTTCTTCCACTGCTTTGTTGATAACATCTTTCATTGCTTCTTTCTCAAGCTTCAAAGATAATTAAGAAATATTAGTAAGTTCAAACCCCAGACATGAAACGTAACGTGCAGTTAGTCCGTCCTGGTATCGCTGTTCTAATATATATTAAATGGAGGCGCAGTTTAGTCAGTCATTTTGTTACAGATTTTCCCCCTCGTCCCCTGACATTTCTTCACTTTAAAGAAATCAAGCCTTAGCTTAAAGGCAGGTATTGGAGGGTATTTATGGGGCTGGAGAGATGGCTCAGGGGTTAAGAGTACTGGCCGTTCTGCCAGAGGACCGGGGTTCAATACCCAGCACCCACACGGCAACTAGTAACTGTCCGTAACTCCAGTTCCAGGGGGCCTACCACCCTCACCCAGACCCAGACATGCATTCAGGCAAAACACCAATGCATATAGAATAAAACTTAGAAATTTAATTAAAAAAAGTTACGTATGATAAGGAAAATGCGGTAAGCTCTTTCGCGGTCTGTTACAACCCAACCCTTCCCCTTCCCTGTATTTTCCAGAGAGAACCTTGTAGTCAAACATGACTTCCAATGGGAACACTGGTTCACCACGCTGCTTCTTCAGGAGTCTGCACACGTGCATGTCACCTGACAGGCGAACATCGCATCCATTCACACAGTCATCACACTCATCACCCACGTCCCCGAGTCCTAGAGAGCAGATGGGGATTTTCCAAGCCATTGCCTTTACCAGTCTCCCACACTTTCCATTCAAGCAAACGGCCTGGCCGTTCCCTCTTCCTGGATCCTCTCTTCATTGTTCAGAACTCGGCTCCCATCAGCCGCTCCCCACAGCTGCGTTGAATTCCTGTGAGAACATCTTCTGCCCTTGTCTACTTTGGCTTTCAAGCTATATTTGTCCATTTGTCTTCCACCCTACGCTGCACATGCCCTCTGGCAATGCTCTCCTGTGTCTAGCCTCAAGTTTCCCAGAAGATAATGCCCGTTTCCGGAAGGACACACCTAAGCCTCACAGCCCCACACATCTCCCTTAGCTGCGGAATCAGCGTAGAACACTAGCCACTTGGCAAGGCTCGCTTCAAAGGTGATTTATTACTTAAAAACATTTTAATGTGGACGTGCTGTTTTTATGGCCATGGTGGTTAGTAATTGCCTTGTTGTTCTATATCAAGCTTTTATTCAACTGCAGGCTCCATAAGGAGAAGTCAAAAATCACAGTAGTTCCTGGATCGCCACCCTCAACCAAGTGCGAATACATATGCCATTTGAATGGCTGCTATGACTACTGAACTTACTGCTAAGTCCCAAGCATATCTGTTTATCTCTCTCGTCCCCCACTTCTATCCAGTACCAGAGGTAAACATCATTGTCCCAATATAACTACTTTAAAGCAAGTAACTAGTAATCTATTTTGCAAAGTCTTTCAATGCCATCATGTTGATAGAAGATGAATGGTCACATTGAAAGTGAAAAGAAAAAAAAAATCAGGTGAAAAGTGGAATCGCTCCATAATGAAGCCTCGTTCCACACTGTTACTCTGTCAGTGGTGAGATGGGGTTTGATTCCGCTGGGAAAGAACGCCAGCCTTGTGAAGGGACATGCCTACCTTCACAGCTGACTCCAGTGCCTCTTTACTCCTCTGCATTTCCTCCTGCAGGTACTTTCCCAGGGTTTCCTACAAGCGAGGAGACAGGAAGGAGAATGCCAGCCAAGGAAGGCAGTAGAGCCACCCTTCTCCCGCTGTGGGTGCCCAAGGCCTTACCTTCTGCTCCTGGGACTGCTGAGCCAAAGCTTCCTGGATTTTTTCCCTTAACAGTTCCTTCTCGGTGTCCAGCACTTCCAGGAGCCTCTGGTGCTACAAAGAAAGACACCTGAGATATTGTTATGGCTCCGAAAAGCAACCAGTAAGGACACAGAACATCTGTACGCAGGTAACCAATGCTCGCTGGAGGAAACGGAGGAACTCTGGCAAAATGAGCGCGGGGAGGTTGCTGGGAACCAGAGCTGGAAAGCCTCAACTCATCCTAGAGATCCTGTGCTACACTCTCAACCTCAGCAGAGCGTGTGGCTCAAGCTCTGGCTTACCACGGCTTCACGCTGACCAGTCAACTAGAACACGAGATGTCTGTACAAAGCTGCTCCTAAACGCGGGCACTGCCTCACAGCAGCAGAAGCAATCAGAGCATCTACTAAGTAGATGGCCATTCTGTTTCTCTCGCTGAGCTCTGTGGAAGTCAGAGACACGAGCAGTTCTTTTCACTCTAGGTTTTCACCAGTTTCTAAAATGGAACCTGTGATATCAAAGAAAACTTAGGCAACACCCAATGTGAAAGCCCATATCCCTTCTTATCCATACACACGGGCCTGCCACACAGCCACCAAGGACAGGTGCCTGGTGTTCGAACTGTTGTATAAGCTCATTACCAGGAAGGGCAACTCTCTAACAACAGTGCTGATCACTATGTGTTCTACCTACAGCAACAAAAAGCTACATAGTTGATATTCCACAGAAGGCCTTGCTCACAGCAACTGGCCTATAGCAGAACTGATTTCGTCTGTTTATTCCTGTCCTTTCCAAAAGTGCTCTCAAGATAGACAGTCTGAGAGGATTATCGCCCATTCTCATTTACTCTCTGACTCATGGGGAGAGGAGGGAGGGAGGGCAGACAAGGATTTTAATTCACCACGCTTCTATAAAGACACTCTATCTGATGTGTACAAGTTAGCTGCACGCATGACTGACCGATTCACTTTTATGACTAAGCAGAATCCTTTTTTTTTTTCCCGAAAATACACAGCGGATTTACCCATTCTGCCACGGGCAGAATAGTCACAAATGATCTTAAAAACACGTCGTTAATGTCTACAACCTCAAGAGAATGTGCGAAACAGGCTGAATCCAGTCACCAGCAGGGCTTCATGGTGTGGCAGTGTCCCAGGATCTCTGTCTGCAGGTGCGGGCACGGGGCTGCACAGGCAACACCACAGACCCTGCTTTTCACCGTGGAATAGGTGATGTGTGATGGCTTTCCCCCAACTGCTCTGCTTAACAACACTTGGATTTACAGCCCTATAAAAAACATTGTGAAAATCAACTGAAACCATCCCAGCAAATCTCATCCAAGAGGGGTTCATTACATTTTGCTTATTTAAGATGCTATATGGCTTTTTTAAAGCTACAGTGCAAGTCTAATAAAACATAAAAATAAAAGAATTATAAAATTACACAACTGGAGAAATAAGTTCTAACTTCACAGGGTAAAAGCCGGGTCCAAGGGTGTCACAATCTTTTGAAACTTAACCAAACGAAAGGCATCTTGGAATATAATGCCTCACCTCTTCGGAAGAAACCATCCCAAATGAAAATGCTCCCTGCAGACTCAAATGTCATTACAGAGGTTCTGAGGATTTTTACCCAATCCTGAACATGTGAAAACAAACAAACAAACAAACAAACAACACCCCGTCTTCTTCCTTGGAGCGTGAATGCAAGTCACAAGAAAAGCTTGAGACAGAGCCACCCCAGTCACACATGGTACCTCTTCAACACTGTAGTTTAGACTAAGCCACCATGGTGCTCATGGCCAGGCAGACAGTGATCTACATGCCATGAACATGAAAGCACATGGTGGTAAATACTCTTTACAACTGTCTCTGACCCTCTCCAAGCCTCTGACCCTGCACACACCGGGTGACCTAGAAGGGATCTTACGTGTGTGCTCACATACATACTTGTTTGATATTAATGGAAACGCACGGTAACTTAAAAAGCATCTTACCGTAATTACCCTAACGTGAGCTATAGACAGTCAACTCTTACGGGCCAGCACTTCAAATACTGGGAAAGGAACGTTACAGAAGATAGACTGAGTTTTCACATACTTAATAATCAGCCCATCGATCTCTCTCAAGAACCAACTGAGCAGGCTGTGAACATCGGTCTGTTAACACAATCTGCCCGCAGTGGGCGGGACTAACAGACGGATACCATGAACAGCAGCTGAGAAACGCACACTTTCCAAGCTAACAGGAGTTGTCAGTAAGAGATAGGAGTGTTGACATTTGAAAATTCAGTGTTGTGTATGTGGGATGTATGCAAGTGTGTATTCACAGACTTTTTTTTTTTTTAATGATGCATTTTACTCACACAACTTGTACCTCTAACTAAAACCCACCCAGCCACAAGCTTCTTGTTTGCTATCCCTCGTTAAGAGGTCTCGTGGGAAGGAGGCCTGGAAGGGGAAGGGGATGACTTAGGATCCTACCACAGAGAGGCGGACGGACGGACGGACGGACGGACAGACAAGCGCTGGGGAGGAGAACCCATCTCACTCTTGGCTCTCTCTCTCCTTTGCAACCCACTCAGAGGGAAAGTCAAACACTGGCTATGCAGACCCAAGCCCACCCCCCACCTACAGCTGTGTTTGTGGGGACATCCACTCCCTTGCAATGGGTGGCCCCAAGGTGACTTCCTACACTTCTTCCTTTGCTTTGGTTTCCTCCTGGCCAACGCCACACCCTCTCCCTTGCCTCGGCATCCAGCTCAGTCAATTTGCTTCTTCTATCACTTATTTGGACTCTCCCCCCCGCCCCTTGCTCTCTGCTTTCTGGCCTCCCTGTCCTAGGGCTTCTTGGGGAAGCAGCATCTTGGGCACCTTCCCAGCAAGCGGGACTCACACAGCTGTACCACTCAGGGGCTGAGCGCTGCCTGCAGTCTCATTTGTGGAGGGTAGTGGGGCCCTGGCCGCTGGGCTGGGTAAGGCTGGGGCTGCTGGGGGTAATAGTTAAAGTGCTGGGTTGTGGCTGTGTAGAACGCCCTCCCTGTATGGACGGTGGGGCCTTCGGGAACTTGGGGTGCAGTAACTTCTTCAGGGGGTTGGGGAGCTGGGACCTCCCCACTCCCGGCCAGGACTCCCTATGCTGAGGGTTGCTCTTGAAGGGGAGGCGCAGCTTGCAGCCCTGGACGGCACAAAGCAGGCTGGTGGCCTGTGCAGTCCCCCACCCTGGCCCCCAGAGCTGTGCAGCCCCTCAGCTGCTCCCCGCTTGAGCCAGCAAAGGCAGCCATAGTGGAAGGCAGGATACTCTCCCATCAGCCTGGACACTGGTTCCCAGCTGGGCAGGGGTGGTGACCTAGGCCGGTCATCGGGCACAGCCTCCTCTGACCCTTCTGGTGGGCAACAGGTGACCATACTTGATTTGTTATCTCCCTCAAGACCCTGGCTCAGTGGAATGACCCTCAGCGAGATGACCCTCCCCATGCGGAGCATCCTGTCCTGCAGGGCCGGCAGCTTGCGGTCCTTATTGCTATCCTGCAGAATCCCTGTCAGCTTGTGGATGTGAGCCCGGAGGTCTTCCACCTCCACCCCCACCCACCCATCCACCCCCACCGCCACCGCCGGCTCTCTGACCACAATGAAATACTTAGAAGTCAATTATGAACAAAACTGAAAAACTATTCCACCTGCATTTAAAAATATACCATTGGGGGGGGGGGTTGCTTTCTAGTGGAGAAAGACTGAGACAAAGTTTCTCTGTGTAGCTCTGGCTCTCCTGGAACTCACTCTGTAGACCAGGTTGGCCTCGAACTCACTGAGATCTATATGCCTGTTTCTGTCTCCCAGGTGATGGAATTGGAGGCCTGTGCCACCACCACCACCACCACCACCTGGCTTAAAATAACCTAACCAAAACACTCTCCTGAAACAGACACATTTATCAGTTGCAGCCAACTGACGGTACGAGCAGAGCCAAGGTCACACAGACCATAGGCAGCACACTCTGGTCACAGAGGGTTCCGAGAGGGAGCAATCAGCCAGAATCTCGTATGTTCCGATCGGCAGGGATCACGTAGCAGTCAAATCAGCAATCCACAGGCTAAGGGCGTTAAGCGGTAAGGGTGTCCACAGAGAGGTTAAGTACCCAACATGGGAGTCCAAGTATGGCAGCAGCCACGCCCACATGCTCTTCCTGTCAGGCTCGGTCATCACACCAGCTTCATCTCATAGTTCTGCGTTTTCTTTGTACAACACACACAAACATGTCTGCACACAAGACTCAGTAGAATGCACACACACGCGCACACACACGGGTGCTAGAACTAAAACTTCAGTTCTACCCTGTGAACTCCTTCAGGACTTTGCCACATCCTGTACAGCTTGGTCCTGGAGACCTGGTCAGGGCAGTGTGACCGACCGGGAGAAGGAAGGGGCTTGGGTGTGCTGTGTGGACGGGCTGGCGGGTCTCCGTCTCAGGTTGCATCATTCAGGAGGGAGCTGCAGGTCCCAGTCTCTGCACAGGCTGTCAACATTCGCACTCAGACCGGACGTCCTTGCCGCTCCTGTAGGCCTGAGGCCCTGGAGCCCCGTGTGGAGCAATGCACCATCACTGACAACTTCACCTGCTCTTCACACACTCACCCAGGCTTCCTCCGCTCCCGACTGGACCTGTTTTCAGTAAATTACAGGAGGGCATGCAAAGACGATGCTAACAAAGCAGTATGAATCCTGCACGATAGGTACCATTATCTCATACAACATTACATTGCAATATAAAGGCTATTCTAAGGTAAGATGAAACCAGATGCACACTTAATTATAGCCGTCCTCACATTCCCTTTATTAACTGCTTCCCTCCACAACTTTAATTCTAATGTAATCTTTCTTAAAGCCACAGACTCACGCTTACAGAGTGCCTCACTTTTCATTAAACCGATAGCTAAAGTATACTTAAGAGGCATGAAAAGCTTTTGCTTTTTAGTTCACTCCTCGAGCTCTTCAACGGCCTGTGTGGCTCTCAATGGCCCGGACCCTGCGGTCTCCTGCTTTGGCATCTGCAGACGCATGGATTCCATGCCGT